ATTTGAAACCATTATAAACTATTAAATTTATATAATAGAAACAGACTTGGTAGACTAATTTTTTATTAGATTTAACAGGTTATTAATTTTGAGAAGATCAATTTTAAAAGGTTCAATAGTATATACTTTTGGCATTTAATTTATGTAGTCTGTCTAAAGGTTTTATACTATTTGCTATATCTGTAATACAACTACAAAATTATTTATTTAAATTTCTGATTACAATATACTATCTATTTTACTTAACACAGATATAGCTTATTATGCTATATATAGCAATATCACTATATTTTCTAGCTACTTCAGAACTAATTTATCCTTAAAATAAATCTAACAGAGCAATATATATTCTATATATATATTCATTAGCATGTTAGTAACTTTTTTTTAACTTGTATCTGTTGTACTACCACTAATGAGTTCATATCTCAAGTTACTCTTTAGAATGCTGCTATAATCTAATCTGTATCTCAAGCTACAACCTTTTTGGTTAGTTTTCTATTATTTATTTCTTGCTTTTATAAAGTTCACACAACTCCAGTATCTATATTTAGCTTTTCTTCTTCTTTGAATTCTTTACCAATCTTTTTCTTACTTCTAGCTAGCAATCTAGAAGAATTAGTTTGTCTAGACTTTAGATATCTCATAGTTACTTTTTTCTTAATATATACTTTTAAAGCATATATCCTTTTTCTTTAGTTAGCAATCTAGCAATTTAGCTAGTGTGTTTCCCTATTTAAAGACCTGGTTGTTCAGTTCTCTGGTCTTAGTCTTTAGTTCTAAATTTAGTTTTTCTGTAGCATTATCAAAGATCATACTACTTCTCTACTTAAAACTTATTAAACAAATTTTTATATTCTAGTTTCTTGGATTTATTAAGCTTTTATTCTAGATAATATAATCAAGGTTATAGATTATGATCCAACCGATTAGGCTATACAAATTTAATTACTTGGTTTTCATAATATGAAACTTTTAAATAGACCTAGCCAGCCAGCTTTTTTTTTTTAAATTTATATATAAAATTTTATAAAATTTATTAAAATTTTTTTTCAAAATCTATCTGGTTATTAAAATATATAAAAATTTTTTTTTTAAAGTTTTTAAATTTTAACCTAGCCAGGTTATAAAAACCAATTAATTAATTTTGCATAGCCTTAGTAATAGCTATTAATCATATTACAGAAAATTACTTATTTTTGCAAGTAATACAATATTGTTTCTTATATCCTATTAAGTATTAATTTAATAATTATAAATAATAATTAAAAAAAACTTTCATATTATATATTTTTTTTTGATAATGAAAATTTGTACTCTTACTAAAACTTTATTCATATTTAGATTGCTTTATTTTTTTTATTATCTTGCTAACTATAAAAATAATTTTTATTAATAGTATTTTTTTTGCTTTTTAAAAAAAACAACTTTAATATTTAATTATTTCAACTTAAAAAATATTGATAATTTTTTTTTTTTAATTATGCTTTGATAATTTTTTTTTTGATAATTTTTTTTTAATTGTATTTTGATAATTTTTTTTTTTATTATAGTTCGAGATGCTTAAAGACTACACAAATTTTAAAAGCTAATAGTATTTAATATAAAAACAATATTACAAAAAATAGGCCCCTATTTTGTAGTTTTGCTAATTTGCTACAACTTAACGGCCTTATTTTTTAAAAAATTATAGTATATTGTTTTAATTAATGAGTTTAAAAGTATAGTATTTTTATATGATACATAAAAATCTGGTTCAAAATGGGACAAGTCACATGTTTTAGCTTACTCCTATTGGCTAATTTTAAAATTAATTTTAAAATTAATTTTAAAATATTTTTTAATAATTAATTTTTAGCCAATCAAAATGCAAGAATTCACAAAGACATCATTTTTCAATATGAAATTTTTGAAAATGAGACAAATTATATAAATGTAGTCTTTAAGTGTCCTGCACTATAGAATTCTAAAAAACTGAACAAAAATAAGAAAAAATAGGTGTGGTGGTCTAGTGAAGTAGTCTAGTTATCACCCCACCAAGCGGCAGGTCTAGAGTTCGAATCACATGGACAATGTTTTCAAAAAAATAGATTTGCATTAGGTAACGATTATTCATCGATTGGTAGGATCTAGAAATCTGTAATCTTGGTTACACCATCTAGAATGGGAGCTTTAGTACAGAAATATCAAGAAACCGGGATAATTGAAACCTGTTTGGGAAGATCCGAGTAAGGAATAATTACAATCTTTGACAGTGCTACAGGAAAAACCTAAATTTGAAAGTTAGAACTAAAATTGGAGAACCAAATGACAACAAGATTCTTTAGTGGGGGGATTTATTAACCTGATCACCAACTTAGAAAAGCTAGAAATCTGCAAGACTGTTACAGAGTACATCAACCCTGGCCAGCTGATGTAGAAAACCAGTGGTGGGAGCCCTACCCACCAAGACCAGAGGCTATAAAAGTTGGGCAGGAAACTAGTCAGATGGAAAAATGCCTAGTATATCCAAAGGACCAGCCAACCAAACTGAAGAAAAAGGACATGTGCTGAAAAAAATAAAAAAAAATAAAATAATAAAAAAAAAGAAAATAATAAAATATGGTCATTTCAATTAATATATATTTGTGGGTTTTGGATTATCCATAACCTTCTACTAAAATTATATTATGAATTTTAGAACTTGGATTACCTGTATCCTTCCAATAAAATTATATTATAAGTTTTAAAACTTGACTTACTTATAACCTTTCAATAAAATTATATCATGGATTTTAGGCCTTGGCTTACCCAGAACTATCTGCTATATTTTTTTATATATAAGATAGAGTTACAACCTTTAGTTACTTTTACTCAAAAGTAACAAACTATAAATTTAAAATTTGACCTTTCTATAACTATAAAAAAAAAATTCTAATTCTAAATAATAAATATTAAAAAAATAAGAAAATAAATCTGAATTAAGATCAATAACCTCTTGGGGGCTAGAAGATAAAAGCCTTTACTAGGCAAGTAAGCAATTAGACTTTGAATTATAAAATTTCTTTGGCCTATATTGGCTACCAAAAAACAAGATAGCATTTACTAATTCAAGTAGGCTAGAGCTTGCAAAAGGTTTTAGCACCTACTTGTACCCTGTCTTTAGTTATATTTGGATCTAATATTTCTTCTATACAGAAGCCAGTGAATTGCCAAATCACTATTCACAATAACAGCTATTACTTTTGTATAGAACAAGAAGACTAATACTATAGTAATTTTAAAAAGGAGTATAAAAGGTTTGGAGCTATTAATTCTAATAAATATTCAAAAGCTCATCTCTTTTAGCATCTTAGATATACATAGAACCTAAAAGAGATAAACATTTGGAGGTTGCATAGTCTAAATGTAGTTGGAAAAATTCTTTAAAAATTGTTCAATTTTGTGACACAGCAAGGAATATAAAGAAGAGTAAGTTGTAAAAATTGCTGTTGAGACTTTGATTATGATTTACAGCTTACAGAGGCATTTTTCTACTATTATAAGCTTTGTAGGAAATCTAGAGAACATTTTTACAAGTAGATTGGTATGTGTTTCATCTCTGTAGGATCAAAACTCGTAGAGATTTTGGCAAAATACGATTGGGTATTTAAAATCAAAAATATAGAGAAGAAGGTATAAAAATTGCCATCAAAACTTTGAACACAATTTACGGCTCACAGAGGCATTTTCCTACTATGATAAGCATTGTAGGAAATGTAGAAGAGATTCTCACAAGTAGGATAATATATATTAAATTTCTGTAAGACCAAAACTCGCAGAGATATGGATGAAATACGTTTGGATATTCAAAATCAGAAAATCTTCTTTGGGTTTCTTTACTAACGTTTTCTTCCAAAATAAAATGCCATCAAGTTGATTATCTTACCAGAGAAGCGAGATCGTACTAAGTAACCTATATGCCATTTTAAAGATATTATTTTCTAGTTTTTTTATATAAAATTTGAAGTCGATTGGAGCAATATATGTTAATTTTTCTACAGGGTTTTGTTTTTCTTTCCTTTTTCTGAGCTTTTTTTTTTTTTTGATATCCGGGATTTTAGTAATTCTGCCAGGAGGCACCAAAATGTTACAATGCTATAGCCTTCTTAGTATAAATATAGCAAAGTAATAAGATTACCCGGTGCAGTGATATACTTTATGAATATACACAGGGTAGATATGAAGTGTATACTTTAACTTCATAGCAGGAGGCAAACGGTTCAAGATAATAACTATGTATAGATAATAATATTTATTAATAACAGATTCATGGTGATAATCTTGCCTGTAGGAATTACTCTAGAAGGAGAATATCACACTTTACAAATAGAGAGGGGTAAAAAGATAAGACTAGATTCTATGAGAGAGTAGGAAACTCTATATGAGAGTAGTCAAACTCTCTATGAGAGTATAGGAACTCTGATTTGGCAGAAGGAGCAGGAGGCTCTCTTTTTATAACTTTTCAACAGATAGAAGTGTAATGGTATAATTGCTTAATTATGTAAAGGTACTCAAAGGCACTTGTATAGAGGCACTCAGAGGTACTCTGTGTAGAGGCACTCTGTGCAGAGGCACTTGAAGATATTTTGTATAGAGGTACTTAAAGGCACTTTGTGTAGAGACACTCAGAGGCACTTTGTATAGAGGCACTCAGAAGCACTTTGTGTAGAAGCACCTGGTGGCACTTTGTGTAGAGGCACTTAGAGGTACTCTATATCATATACTATTTTACTTAGCCACAGTATTACTGTGCCCTATTTTATTACCCAATAGAACTTTCTCTATTCTAGTTATAAATGACTATAACTAATAATCTAATACTAATAATACAATAATAAAATATTTTCTATACTATGCTATACTAGTATTATTCTGTCTTACAACCTACTTTGTAACAGTAGTAAGTTGGCTTTTTCTTTTAATTTTTCTTTTGCTTTATCTTTTTCAAAGCCATTCTCTATTAATTCTTCTTTTATTGTTCAAATTTTTATATTTCTGCAGCAGCTTTCTTGAGCCTCTTTTAAGGTTTCTTGTATATTATTTTTATATATTAATGAGCTTTTTGGTATCTTGATTTTCCATATATTTTCATTTTCTAGAGTTACTTTTTTTAATATATTTTTCTGAATTACCCGTCTAGTATTTTTAAATTTTCTTCAAAAGCGGCATATTTGCTAATCAGATTCTGCTATACAATCTTTATACTATATTAAAATTGTTTTATCTTTTTCTAGATCTTGTTTTTCTTTCCAATGCTCAATTTTAAAAATATTTTTGTTCTTCTTTTTTTTAACAATTCTTTCTATATTTAGATTGCTGTTTTTACTCTTGAGAAGAATCTAATCTTTTATACGTTTATTTGGACTAATTTTTTAAAGATATGTTTTAATCTCTAGACTTTCTGCAATGTTTGTATGATATTCTTCTCTTATCGATCTTTGTTTATAGTTTTCTAAAACTCGCTTTTTAATATTTTTGAACCAATTTAGTTTTTTGCCTGCTGCTTGAACTCTCCTAATTCTTTTTATTTGCCCCATTCTAATCGCTTTTTTTGCTTTGTATTTACAATTTGTTTAAGTGTAAAGATATTCATTTTTTTTTTTTGCAAAAGCTGTTTGTATTTTTTTTATTAAGCAGGTCTATCAAATCTGTTTCTTTCTTCTCTAGAGTACATGTTTCTTCTAGTTTTGTAGCTTTTATACTTATTTCTAGATTGCTTGCTTCTTTTAATATCTTATATATCAGATTGTTCTTAACTTTTATTTTATTTAATCTTTCTTTATCTATGATTAATATATATTTTTTACTTTTGCAATCTAGTTGTACTTGTTTTACTCTCATCTATGTTGCTTACCCTAATTCATTATAACTGCTCAGGTGTAAATTAAGTTCTGTTATATAGTGTGCTACCTGGTTTTGCTATATTGACTTTAATCTAACTATATTCTTGTATGTCAGTACTGCATTTGGGGTTATGTTTGCCATATTGGCTTTGTTTTTTGTTAGCTTAAAGATAGAGCTTTGTAGTTTGTTATAAACAGTATATGAAAAAATATGACATTGTAACCTGTACTCTACTCTTGGTAACAATACCCTGTTATTCATATATACTATATATGCTAATGAAACTCTTTTTTTCTTTAGAATATTAACTATCATATCTACCTTCTTTTTAATTATATTTATAATTGCTTTTTTCTCTTTTTTTGTTGAAAGCCAGATACTTAAAAATCTTGTATATTTATTATCTTTTTTTATTTGTATTTTTTCCTTTCCTTGATTTATTTCTATATAGTTTATTTTATTCTTATTTTTGTTCAATACCACCAGCTCTGATTTTTTATTGTTAATTTTTATATCATTTATTTTATAAAATTGTTCTGCTATTTTTAGAATACTTTTTAATTCTTTCCTAGAGCTAGCTATATATGTGGTATTGTCTGCATAAGCAAGTATTTCAAACTTCATACTTATGCTTTTTGATTGGTTTAGTCTTAAATCTGTTGGCTATTCTACTTGCATTTTGTAACCTGCCTCTTTGTAGCTTTGTATTGCTACTAGCAGAGGGTTATAAAATATTCTTCAGACTAAAGAAGATATCATCTTACCTTGGTTTATACCATCTTGAGTAGTAAACATCTCTGTCAGACCATGCTTTGTAATTATTTGCATTTTTCTCTTCTCATAAAGGTTTATAATGAAGCTTCTAATTGCCTTTGGAAGTTTGATTTATTGTAGAGCTAGATCTAATATTTCTAGGCTAACAGAGTCAAATACTTTTTTCATGTCTTGAAAGAAAAGCCAAATTTCTTTTTGCTTTTTTTTTACATCTTTTAAAATACAGTTAAGAAGGTGAATTGGTGCTGCTGTTTCTTCTTCTAGTAACTCTGCAAAATTACTTCTTTTTAATATTTCTTTTGTTTTTAGTACTTTACTAAGTCTGTTATTTAAAATTCTTACTACTGTTTTTCTAAATATTTCTAGTAGTAGAATTGGTCTGATATTATTTAGCTTATAGCCTCATTCTTCTCGTTTTGGTATAGAATAGAGCATTCCTATTTTCCACTTCTTGGGGATTTTGTCTTTTTTTATACATTCTGAAGTGAACTTGGTAAAAAGAACTTACATTTCTTTTTCTATATTTTTGAGCAGAGAGTATGCGATTCCTGTTATTCCTGATGCAGAGCTACTTTTGGTTTGGCTTAAAGCTTGATCCCACTCTTCTATTGTAACTTCTTTCAAAATCTCTTGATACCATTCTTCTTGTATCTCATCTAGTAGTTCATACTCTTTTCTCCAAAACAAAGATAAGCTATTTGCTTTTAACTCCCATTTGTAAAACTGTTTCTAGAAGTAGGTTTTTACTGTTTCTAGAACTTCTTGTAATTTATATATGAGTTCTTTTTCATCATTCTCAAGCTTAACTAAAACTCTGTCTAGACATAGCTTATTGTATAGCCTTTTTAATAAACTATTTATCATTTTCTTTTGATCAGTTACTATTATTGCATATTGTTTTTGAATCTGCTCTTGTATTATTTTTTCTTCTGCCTTATTTTTGCTAATTTGCACAGAATCTTCCATCAGATTTCAAGTTCTTTTTTAGTTTCATTATTTTTTTGGTTTGTTATTATTTCTTTGTTATTTTGTTTACTTTTTTCTTCTTCACTAATTATTAAATCTTCTTCTATATTGACCTCTTTGTACTCTACTTCTAGATATGTTAACTAATTTTTTGCTAAAGTTTAAACTGCTAAAAATTCTTTTTTTCCTTCTTTATTTATATAGCTGCAAGTTTTTTTGAGTTTGTAATACCAATTTTCTGTTATTCTAATCTTTTTTTTAATTTTTGCTAACTCTTTATCATGAAATTATACTTCTAGAAGTGATGGTATAGTTTTTCTTTTAAATAGTGCTAACCTTGCTAATACTTGAATATACTTTAGAATCTTTTTCTAGGCTTCATCTAGGTTTGACAAATCTTGCCATGGTTTTTTCTCTGATTTCAGATTTGTCATACTTTACTTTTTCACTCTTTTTTCTTAGTCTTTTGTTGATTTCTTTTTTTAAAATATTCTTGTATTTCAACCAATCTTCTTCTGTAGCTTTATCAAGATCTATACTAATTTTCTTTTTGTCTAATTTTCTTAGTCTGGCTAGTGAGGATTTTTTTTCCTGGAGTTCTGTTTCTATTATAATATATAGCAATTTGTAGTCACTTGCTATTATTTGGTCTGTTTCATAGGCTTTGCCTGTTAGAATATTTTTCTTCCAGCTCTTTGAGACCCAAATTTAATTAATTTTTGTCTTAGATCCTCTTCCTAACCACGTTGATATATATTTTTCTGGGTTTGCTATCTCAAGAGCATCTCTAAAGTTTTTTTTTCTTAGCAAATTTAGTATTTGCTTCTTTTTATTGAACTTTGTTTTTAATGTTTCTTTTTCTTTGTTGAAATCCTTAACATTTTTTTTATATTCTGCATTGAAGTCACTCATTATTATATAAATACTTTGTTTTCATTCAGATTGCTCAATTCTTTATATAGGTGCTCATAGATTTCATTCTGTATCTCTTCATTATTTGGTGCTATATATACTACAATTATATATAATCTTAGTCTTTTAAAATCAAGCCTTAATTGCAGTATATATAGATTAATAGTTTCAATCTTTGAGACATGCTTTTCCTAGTTTTTCTTTATAATAATTCCTATACTTGAGCTTTTATACTTGAATTTATTAGCTGAAACCCAATAGCTTTTGTACTATTATTTTTGCTTAATAAAAATTTTCCTTCTCGTTCAAATATATTTGTTTCTCCTAGTCCTATAATGTTTATATCTTTTCTTTCTATAAAATCTAATATTAGCTCTACTCTATTTTTATTTGTCTTAATCCTATTTATATTATGAAACCCAATATTTTATACTTCTAACCCTTCTCTATTATTGTTTGTATGATTCTCGGTTATGCTATTTTCTTGCAAAGATATGAGTTTGTTGTTATTTGCTTCTCCATTAATATTACCTTGTATAAGGTTTGATTGTTTCAGTTTCTTTTTTGTTATAACCTTCTGAGTATACTCCTTTTCTAGAGTATTTTTCAACCCTTTTATCTATAAATTAACTGGGATGAAATTTAGAAGTGATTAGCAAGTAATTGCTTTATTGTTCTGAATCTTTCTTGCATTTCTGCTAGAATTCTTTTAATCTTATTTTCTTTGCTTATTTCTGCTTTTTTTTCTTTTTTTTCAACCCAGTTCTTCTCTGTTTGAGCCTGTTGTAACTGGATATCTTTGTCATTTCTAACTAGCTATAGTGAGGTTATCTGCTCTATTAAGTAGTTTTCTTGTATTACTATGTAATTTAGAAGTACTATTTGCTCTGCTATCTAATTTGCTTTCTTGTTTACTATTACTATTATATTTTTTTATATTTTTTCCTTTAAAATTTTTCTTGTAATACTTCTTTTGCCAGATGGAGGAAGCACTGCATTCATTTCTAGTTTTGTGAATTAAATTTGATCTATCATTATTCTCTTTGTTCTAGCTTATTGCATCAAACCTTTTATTTCTTCACTATTTTAGTTTATTATCGAAATATTTTGGAACTACTGTTTTTGCTTTTAGCAAATCTTCTAATAAAATAAAATATACGTAAGCAATACTTCTTTGTTTGCTATAGCTACTTTTTGGAATATAGATTATTTTGGCTTTGAGGCTTAAGAGTTGTTGAAGAAGTAATGCTTCAGATGCTTTGCGTGATACTTTTTTTAATTTTAATCTAAATTCTTTTTTTAAATTTAGTTCTTCTATATCAAAACTACCTTCTGTAATTCTACTGGTTTTTCCTTCTTTAAAAGAAATTGCCTATGTATTTTGTAGCTTTTGTTTTTGCTTCTTACTTTTGTATTTGATTTTGATATATGCTACTCTAGATTTACTTTGATTTTGCTATTCTAATACCTCTGTTTTGCTATAATATTTCAGGCATTTTATAACTCTTGAGATATTTGTTAAGATTGGAAGATTCTAAATAGTCAAATAAAGATTCAGATCTTCTTTTCTCTTTGCTGAGTCTACTTTGGTTATTACTTCTAAGTTAGTTTGTACTGTAGTATTTTCTGGTACTCATATAGAGCTATATATATCTTTTATTTCAGTATTTGTCTTCTTTGTTTTATTATTATATAGATCATCTATTTTTTCTTGTTTCTTTGTTAACGAAACCCAGTCTTGAACTACCTGTGTACTATAGTTCATTTGTCCACATTTGGTATATAATAATATTGCCTTTTCTTTAGTATTTGTCGATTTATCTTCTTTTAGTATAGCTATTTCACTTTTATTGAGATTCATTTTTGCTAGTCTAATCCTAATAGATTCTTCTTTTTTTTTAATAATACTGTTCTCCATAATATCTTCTTTATCTCTTTTTCTTTTATAGTTTTCTATTATATCAATAACCATATTTGTATTGTCCTCTTGTTTATCTTGAAGTTCTGCTATTCTTTTTTGTTATGTGTTCAACTTCATTTTTGTTATAATCTTAGTTGCATTTCCTACTAATATATGCTTCTCTCTTTGCCTTGGTCTTTTTTAATTTCTATCTATTTGTAACCATCTATCACTGTAAGTATTGTAGTTATAAACTCTAAATTTTTGTATCTAAGATATTTTGCTATATTTCTGTCTATTAATAGTGTGAGGAGGCTTAGTTTATTGTATATTTCTTGTTGTTTACTTTGTAAGGCTATTGCAAAATCTTTAAGTAGCTCTGCTTTCATGCTTTTAAATTTTAAATTTTGGTTTGTATTGTGGATATTGAATTATTTTTGCTTTGCTTTTTCTAGAATATGCTATATTGTTGTCTCAGTACGTATTTGTTTATTTATGTTTGTTTGATATTGGGAAATCTGCGATACAGGATGAAGAGCAAATTTCTAAATTTTCTAAAAGTTTTTTCGAAAATTTACTTTTTTCTCTATAGTGCAAGTTCAAGCTTGTATTAAACAAAACTTTTCTAAGCAACTTTGTTTAATTTTTGTTGCTCTTTCTTTTTTTTAAATATTGTTTACACAATTAATTTATTAGGAAATACTCTAAATTCAGATTTTCTTTTGCTCCAATTTTGGTTTGAGGATTAACAGAAAGAGTTTGTTAAAAAATACTGTTGAAAAAAATATATTATTGTAATATGAAAAACCAAATATAATATATATAGAAATATTAAATATAAAAAGAAATTATAATATAAAATATATTGTAATGGAATTTTTAAGAATTATTAAGATTGATAATAAAAGTAATAGAGATTTTGGTTGCAATATATATTTAAAAAAATAGGTTTTATACAAAGAAAATTTAAAGAATATTTATTGTTTTATTTATATATTTATTAATAAATTTAAAACTTGTAAAAACTTGTTATTACAAAAAAAAACAAAAATTGAGTTTTTAAATATATGTTTTTTTTTAAAAAAATAAAATTTAATAGGTTCTAAAAATAAATCTATATTTTTATGTAAATTAATCTGGGCTATTTGTGTTGTTAATATATATATAATTAATAAAGAGATTTGGGCTATTTAGATTACAAAAACTCTGTAAATAATTATGTATAGATTGTATAAATTATATAGGCCACAGTATTATATATATAAATAGAAGTTATAAAATTATAATATACAAATAAAGAGATAATTATTATATAAAAAGAATAGTTACATATTATAAACTAACTACTATAAACTATAATACTATAATTATTATTATTATTATTATTATTATTTTTTTAACTCTTTGACAGTCTTGTTGGTATCTTTATTACTAGATAATTAAATTTACATATGTTATTACACATGTTATTTATCTAAACTAAAATAAATAGATCTGGCATTATCCGGTTGCTTCTTGAGTACCTAGATATGACCTGTCGCACTATTCTATGCATAAGGCAGAAGATATTGTCAGCCCTATCAAGAGCCAAACCAAAACGGCTTCGTACTATTATTTATAATTTTCTCAATTGCATTATTCCGTTTCTTCCTGATCTTATTTGCTCTCTGCTAGATTCTTTTTAGTCTTTCCTGCTTTTTTTCTTTAGATGGATATCTTCTTGCTTTTACTAAGCGTTTGTGCTTTCCTTTGCTTTAGATGCATTGCCTGGTTTTGTCTCTTGTCTTTTCTGCTTCGCTATGATACTTTCTTGTCTTTCCCATTGATTTATCTTGTAGCATCTCTCCTATATAAAATCAAAACACCTATTTTTAAAGATATAAAAAATGTTTTTCAGGTACTCATCTACTATCTTCTTGGATTTCACTATATCTTCTAAGTTTTTGTATATTTCCATTCTACATAGACCTTTTACTAAACTTTCTCTAGCTCGTGTCTTTTTTTCCCTGCTAAGCCTGATTAAAATCTCTCTAAAACTGTTTAGACTTAAGTCACTTTTTGCCTCTTTAGGCAGTTTGTTCTATATTTTTTTTGTTGCTACTGCTTCTATGTTCTGCCAGTTGGGTTTTTGAGCTTTGCATATTCATATATGGTCTAGTGTTTCTTCAGCTTTACTACCACACACTTTGCAATTAGCTTCAGTGTAAATTTCTAGTTTTCTTTGCTGTAGTTTCCATAGCATTGGCAGCTGACCTATAATTAATTTGAACCAAAAACTTAGTTTTCTACTTTTCTTGAGAGACTTGTATTTGTAGCCTGTAAAGTCACTTAAATAAGACCAAAAGAGATTTCATCCAAATTTTTTTTTCTCCTCTTCTGTTACCGCCAACTTGCTTAGGTGGGATATACTTAATCTTGCTACTATCTTTGCTTGAAAAAGTTTTTTAAGAAAGTTTCTTAGGCTTGATTCAATTTGGGTGTCTTTCCATTGCCACTGGAATCTTATTCAGTTGTTATAGATTGATGCTACATCTGTAATCTGACCATGCTCTGCACCTTTCCTTGCCAGAATATCCGCTCTATCGTTCTATTGCTCCCCACTATGTCTCTTCACCTTTTCTAATACTAAATCTATATATTTAACTTTAACTATCTCTAAAATATCTATTCTAATATTAATGTTTTTTGATCTTGACTATTTTTTCTCCTCTTTGAGTTCAGGCTACTTTGTCAAGCCAGCTATTGCTGCCATACTATCTGTTTGAATTTTAACTTTGCACCTTTGAGGAACTATTAGAAGTGCAAGGAGGATTGCTAATAGCTCTAGTTTTGTTAATAAGGGCTATTTCTCTATTCTACAATACCCTTCAAATATTATCTTAGATGTATCTTCTCGAATGCGTAACTAGCTTGCCCCCATTGCTACTACTAACTTATTTGTCTTTAAAAAACCATCTGTATAGAAAAGAATTGACTTTTCTGGTTGCTTTTTATTTATACTAAATTGTTTTATAAGTTTTTTTTGTAGCTTTATATTAATTACGTATCTCTTAATCAATTCTATTTCTAATAACTTTTCAATTGCAACTATAGCTACTGTTTTTTCATCTTTAATCCTTTTCCTCTTATTAGCTATTACTATGTTTTGAAAAAGGACTGTCGACAAAGAGTATCTTCTTTCTCCTTCTTTTATACTTGGCTTGAGTAAACTTGTTATTATTCTGCCTTTGCTGTTCTAGCAAACATCGTCATCTTCTTCTGGCATTTTTTCTAAGATCGAGCCAAAACTGTATCTACCTTCTTCCTCAGTTTCACTATCTCTGATCTCAAACTTCTCCAGTCTACTCTTGTTTTCTCTTTCTCTTGCACTCTGTATATTTTTTTTCTTTTGTTCTTAGTTTCACACAGCATTCATTCTTTAACTCTTTTGTCTTCAGAAATTGCTTTTTCTAGATAGACAATTGATCTTTTGTTTGGATTGCTTTCAATGTATTCAGCTTTTACTTGTCTTGAAAGCTAGTCTTGCAGCAACAATTTCTCTATTACTTCAAACCACTTCGCCTTCTTACCCCAGCTAGACTTTTCTCTTATAAACTTAATTTGCTGCCATATTAGTAGTCGATTTCTAATATAATCAATGATTTGTGACATATAAAATATCATTAATTTTTTTAACTTTCTCATAAGTCCACTTATATTTCTTTCTAATAGCAGCTTGCCCAAAGGCATGCAAGTACTCTTTATATTCTACAAAGAGTTTAAATTACCCATTGTCAAATTTATTCTTTTTGCTCTTAGTAATACTGTGCATGCCAAATTGTCCTTCCACAACTTGCTTAGCAGTTTGTTGTCTTCTGTCTGCCAAACTGTACTAGTCAGACCTGCATCTAAAAAACCCTTTTTAACTCGAATTTGTGTTACTATCCCTTCAACTTGTGTACTGTTTAGTCTGTTTTGTAGAGCAATTAACTGCTTAGTTACGATTTCTTGTTCTAGTGATTTGCAACCTCCCAAATCTTTATACAAGATTATACTATTCTCAACTATTCGGGCTAATTCTAATTTGCTTTTGACTAGCCTTATAAATAGTTGATAGATCTTCTTAACTGACTAGGTACTGAGTTTATTAACTTGCAGGATATAACTAAGTTTTGGTAGTAAAACCATATTGTTTATATATGCTAGTTGGCTTATTGTTAGCTTTTTTCACTATAATATTAAAGTTATTTGACTAAAAATTTTCTTGGCTTTGTCTCTTATTAGAGATTCTTTCAACTTCTCACTTAACCAAATACCAAGCATTCTTACTGTGGTGCTATCTTTGGTGGCTCTAATTTTGTCTTGGTTGAATTGTACCTTCTTAGCCTCATAGTCTTTAACCTTGCAGTTCATTACTACCAGATTATATTTTTTACTATTTATCTATATGTTGTTAATCATATAAAATTCATTTGCAACTCTCAGCATTCTTTTCATCTTTGCTTTGCTATTAGCTAGCCAAGTTGTGTCATCTACATAGGCTATTGCCACCTGTCTCACACAAACTTTTGTCTCTGTCTTTGTTGCTATATCTTCTAAAATACATGTTTCAACTTCATAACTGAAAGACTCGTTATTCTGTATTCTACATAAAAGTGGATTGTAGAAAATTTACCAAATGATTGGCGATATTACTTCCCCTTAATCAATACAATCACTTGCTTCGAATAGTAACATAGTGTATGAGAACTACTTCTAAATAACAAGTGCTATCTCGATAGTGAGTGATAAGATCTAAGCCTGTTAGCAGGTAGTATATAAAAACTATCTCTAAATAACTGGTACTAGTTTATAGTTTTTATTAGTTTTGAGCCACCTACTGTTTTTTGTGAAAAAAAGTTTGTTGTATTTTTGGTATAAGAGATTATCAGAAAGAGTTTGATTAATTGATGATTAAAATAATAATCATTATTATTATTTTTTTTATTTACATATATATATAGTATGTTTAAAAAATACTTTGGTTTTGGGTAATTACTATATAATATGTTTGGTGATTTTGATTTTGTAAATATATTAAACTACTATCTTTTTTTTTTTCTGATTTTTTTTTCATTATTTCTTTGTAGTTTCTATATTTGGAATTATGTTTCTAACTTTGGGTAGTTATTATATACAGTAATATGTTTGTAATTTTTATTTTATAGACCACTCTTTTCTTTCTTTTTAAATGCATTTGATTTTTTTTTTTATTTCTTTATAGTTTTTTCATTTGAAATTATATTTTTGATTTTGAGTAATTACTATATAATATGTTAATTTAATTTTTTGAATATAATTAACTATTATTCTTTTTTTTTCAAATGGATTCAACTTTTCTCTTTGTTGTTTCTTGGTTTTTTTATTTAGAATTATGTTTCTAACTTTGGGTGATTACTAAATAATGTTTTGTTAATTTTAATTTTTTAAATATGATTAACTACTACTCTTTTCTTTCTTTCTAGATTGGTTCAATTTTTTTTTGTTATTTTTTTGTAGTTTTTTTATTTGAAATTATATTTCTAATTTTAAATAGTTACTATATAATGTGTTAATTTAATTTCTTGAATATGATTAATTACTACCTTTTTTCTTCTTTTTAGGTGAGTTTGATTTTCTCTTTGTTATTTTTTTGTAGTTTTTTTATTTAAAATTATGTTTTTTTTTTTTTAAGCGATCCTGCCTTTATTTATGTAAACTATTATATGATTTATATACACTCATGTATTAAAATTCTTATAGCTTATTGTTCTAATCTAATAAAGACTCACTAGGTTAAACCCAATATGACATGCCATAACAACTGTTTACTTCTCTTGGGATACTTAACTTGCTAAGGATTTTGTACCATCTCTGATACCCCTCTCGGTTCGTAAGTTGGCCGTTGTATATCTTGTCAGGATTACCCAACCTTCAAGATCTTCTTCCACCAATATCCGGGTAGAATACCTATCTCCTACTCTTCTCTAAGCAAGGATTATATATACCACTTTTACCAAAGAACAACTACATCTAGAAGAAATAAAAGAATCTAAAACAACTAAAACATTATTCTAAATATATTTCCATTATAAATGAACAAAGATGAAAAAGGACAAGAAAGTCAGGTAACCCTAACAAGAAAAACTACATACTAAAATGCACTATTATAATCTGTGCCAGGTAGATAAAAATTATATAACAATAGTAATATTGTATATCTCTATTGTAAAGCTTTGCCTTAACCTTTATGCTTTTCTCTTTGAACTATGTTAATACTGGAAGTTTTGGCCAAGCCTTCTAATCTGTATCTCAAGCCAAGTGCTGTCGTTATCTGAGGACCTGTATCTCAAGCCACTTGCTGCTATTATTAGAAGTATCTTAATTGTTAGCTCCAAACCAAACTAGTAGTACTATATCCGAATTAGGCCAAACACATAGTAGCTATCTACTTTGTCGACCGGAAAAGAAAACTAGTAAACAATGTTAATCTTTTAATAGGGGTAAACTGTTTTGCTTACTTTTCTTCAAAAATTTGTTGCTAGAACAAAAGGGTAAATAGGAAGAAAAATTTATCTAGAGTAATAAGTAACTAAGCAAATAGCAGTTATTTGTTATGAACTGTTTTTCCCAAATGAACTTTTCTTTTCAGTAAGTGATAAACTCTGAGCTTGTCAGAAAGTAGCATATGAAAACTACTTCTAAATGACAAGTACCATCCTAGCAGTAAGTAATAAACTCTAAACCTGTTAGCAAGTAGCATATAAGAACTATCTCTAAATGACAGGTGCTAACTTATGGCTTTGTTTTGACTCCAGGCGCTTTCTATAATCTCTTTACTATGTTTTGAGTTCGAAAAATTTTCTGGAGAATTTTGGTACAAGTATTCGATGGAAAGAGTTGCCTAATTATTATTGAATTGCTATAATATTACAATGAGAAATTATGTTTAAATTGCTATAAAATCAAATAGTAATAAAGATAGTAATAAAGAAGTCATGCCAACTTGACAAATAATCATCACCAGATTTAATAAAAGTTGTAATCATTATAATATCATAGCAATTTAATTATTAAAATTATTATAGAAGCTTAACAAAATCGTTACTAGATTTTTGTATAGTTGTAGTAAGATTATTGTAATATTGTAACAATTTTATTATTAAATCATTATGGAATCTTAACAAAATTGGTACTAGATTTTTATGTAATTGTAATAAGATCATTATAATATCATAACAATTTTTAATTATTAAAATCACTATGGAATCTTAACAAAATCGTTACTAGATTTTTGTATAGTTGTAGTAAGGTTATTGTAATATCATAACAATTTAATTATTAAAATTGTTATAAAATCTTAACAAAATCGTTACTAGATTTTTGTGTTGTTGTAATAAAATCATTATAATATTGTAGTGATTTAATTATTAAAATTGTTATGGAATTGTAACAATATCATTACTAGATTTTTGTGTAGTTGTAGTAATATTGTCATAATATCATACCAATTTTATTATTAAAATTGTTATGGAATCTTAACAAAATCATTACTAGATTTTTGTATTATAGTTATAATATAACAACTATAAGGTAACGATATCATAGCATTATAAATCGCCACAAAATTTTTTCGAGATTGTGATTATATTGTAATAATATAGCTACTATATTGTAACAATATTATTAAAATTTTATAGGTTTCTGTAAAGAATACTTAAATCAATTTTTAGTCGACAATACTCAACTTGAACATTATACTGTAGATATCACTTATTATTGTTCAATTGATTCTATATGATACCAAGAATTATTATTAAAAAGAAATGTAATACAAGATTATATTCAACTTGCATCTTTATCATGTACTACAATATTAAATGTTTTCACAAATGGTAATAGTTATTTGGTTCATAATCTCTATGGATGAGTTGCAGCTAGATGAAACATTTTAATCTTGATAAATTGTAAAGGAGTTATCGAATTGGGCCAAAAATATCAAGATGGATTAGTCATCGTTCCCCGTAAAAATATAAACAATCATCCAGTGCCAAGCCTTGATTTCACTTCAATGTATCCTAATATGATAATAACAATATACATTTCATTAAAGACTAAAGTTTCCACCACTTCATCTGATCTGTTGCTAAATACAATCTTCGATAATAACCAGATAATTATGAAATTTAAACCTTATTATGATCAAGAAGAAAAGATAGAGTTGATGCCATTGATGTGTAAAAAGCTGTTGAAAGAACATGCTAAGGCTAAAAAATTAATAAAAGAACATAAAAATAATTCCATTAAATTAGCATACTTCTTATCAAAATCAAATGTGTTAAAGGTACTGGCAAATTCAACATATAGTAAAACAGAACATCTCTACTCTCTATTCTACAGGAAAACAATCACATTATTGGTTACTGCATTTTCATATAAAACTTTAAAAAAAGTTATCTCTTTCTTGAAATCGCAACAATCTTGTATAATTTATAGTAATACAAATTTGGTTTTTTTCATAATACCCGAACAATATTTTTCTGAGATAGATCAAGAATATTCACAAAACAGGCAGCTTCACTACCAAAAATCTATAGAAAAATCAATCTCATTTACTAAACAAATTAAAAGCACAGTAAATGAATATATATGCCAAGTAAATAGTAGCTTATATATGGAGATGGTGTATAAGAAAGTTTTTTATCTATCTTTGCTTCTTTACAAGAAACAGTACTGTGGCATTGTTTATAAGCACAAACCAAATTTTTTAACCCAAAAATTGTTAATCAAGGGTTTGAAAATTGTTAAATATAATGTATCCCTATTTTATAAAAAAGTAACCACTAAATTAATCTAGAGCTATTTGGGGTTCAATGATCAAAAACAATTATCACAATCATATCTTAAATTACCAGATATAATAGCACAAGAAGTAATTTATAAATATATTACACAAGTTAAATTACTTGATCTGCAATTATTTACATTAATTGCAAAATATGATCCCCAATTTAGAAAAATAATCAATTGTGATTATATTATTACTATTCGAATATATTGAAAAAATCCTTCTAAAGATACAACATTTTATAAATATTTTGATAAACAAAAACTTAAACAATCAATTGATTTCAAAAAAAAAAATACAATAGTTCTCAATTTTGTCGAATTTTATGAGAAGAATAGAAAAAAGTTAGTTCCTGGATATTTTGAATATTATATTTTGTATTATATAGATTCAAAAGACAGTATATCACACAAAATGATATTAGCAAAAGAGTATACATTAGATAAAGAAATTGATATTGTCTATTATTTTAACAGTCTTCATGATATTTGTGCTCCATTGTTATCATGTGACAAAAAACAGGCTTTAAAAACAATCAAAGATATATACGAAACTGATAAATAAAACAAATAGCTTTTGATAACAAATCTTTTCTTTCCTTCTTCAACTTCTCAACATGTGTTAAAACGTAAAATAGAAGATTCATTATCCATATCTAAATCTCTTGTTAAAAAACAGAAAAAATTAGATTTTTATTCATTATAATTATTAATTTATTTAATTCTTGTATATACTATCTAATCAGTTTATAAACTGATTAGAGTTTTTCATGTATGATAATGAAATTTCTCTTTTTAGTAAACAAAAATTGGATAATACTCAAATTACTATATTATATAAAATTTGTTTCTGATTTTATTTATACAATCATACAAGAAGAAAGAAAATTTTACAATGTTCTTATTTCAAACACAACATCAAAATATTTCCCAACAGATTTTCAGATTTTTTCTATTAATTTTCTAGCTACTAGTATTATAATGGTGGAAGATAATTTTTTCAAAAATAAATTTATTGAATTGTTAAAAGCAATTGAAATAGATGATAAAGAACATTATTATACTTTTTATAAAAATGTTGCTGAAAATTGTTAATATTTTTTTAAATTTTATTCTGTACTAAATACCGAATAAATTTTTTTCTATCAATTATTTTAACCAATCAAATTTATTTAATATGAGTCATATATCTTTATTAATATTTTCTAATAAGATTCTTTATCTCATTTTTATATCTCTGAAAAAAGAAGATGATCAATATTATCTTGAACTTTCATATAAAATATTATAATGCATCTATCAATGTATAGTATTTGATCTGAAAAACTAACAATTTTTATTTGTGCTTGGAAGATTTCTATTAGTTTTTTCATTCAAAAAAATTTCACTTACAAAAAAATACAATTATATTTTTTTTAACAAGATTTATAATCGATATGAAAATTGTAAAATCCTCAAGATTGATTGTGATTTCAAACAACATTGTACGAGTTGTACTTTTAAAAAGATACCATGTGATAAGAAAGATTTTAAAAAGGTGTTATATAAATTAGCATCTGGTAGATATTTTTGTTATATGCCATTCTCAAGAGAGATAATGTTTAAAAATATAATGGAGCTTTAAAAATTATAGGGAAGAATGAATATAAGAGATGTCAACAAATAAATTCTGTGACTGAAATGTGATTGTTCACTACAATTGTTGCGGCATCTCCAACTACAGCAAAAACAATATCATATTGCCATGAATGACAACAGCTAACATTTATGAGTTTATACACACCCACATGCTTTGTGAAGATTGCAAAGAAAAATATGTAAAGTGATATTACTCTTTTAGATAAATATTTAGATATTTTATTACAATTTAATTTATAACCAAGTCATAAATCATGTTGAATAAATATGTTCAACAACAAATCTAACATTACTATCGCTATTTTTACTACTTCTGTTAATGCCAAAATAATAATCGCATTATTTATTTTGATTGTTTTTATATTTAGCTCATATTTAAATATTTTATTACCAAAAACATAATGATTAAATTTTGTTTCTATATATTTCATTAGTTTCTTCAAATTAAACAGATGTTTAGAAACTTTTTTGTAAAATAGTATTGATTTTTCAAATTTGTTATAAAATTTTATAATCTTAGAATATTCCATAATCTTAATTATGTTGTAATCAAATTTTTGATAGTTTACAAATTTAATATTCATTTGTTCTTTTATTATTTTTTTTAACCAAGGTTTAAAATCATCATTTTTATAATTTTATTCTGATCATTTAGTGTAATTACACCGAATAATCACTATTTTGTATAGGTTTAATTTTTGGGTGGCTTAGCTTTTCATCTCTATATAAATCCTTTTCTTTGATTTCGACTTCAATTTAGATCACCTTTAATTTCAACCAATCAGATGAGAGAGCTTCCAACTGTATTTTGTTTAGTCATTTGTTTTCCTCACATTATGCTAATTCTTATTACCGCTAACTCAATACTTCATAGAGACATGGGTATCTAACTGGTTTTCATAATTGTAATTCATTTACTTTGAATTATTTATGATATAATTCCAGGATAAATAATATATATTTAAAAATAGAAGAAGAAAAATTAGAAGAGAAAAAAGAGATTTTGACAAGACATACAATAGCTTGTCTGTGATTGAAAGGAGTATTCTTGTCAATACAAAGTCCCAAGTAAACTAATAGTTGTTATAGCAAGTTATATTAAATAGATCACCTGGTAATTATTTGGCAAGTTTTTATTAGATTAGAACAATATACTTAAAAGTAGAGATACAACTTATTGTATAATATTTGATAGTAGTTCATATAAATAAAGACAAAACTGCTTAAAAAAAAAAATAAGATATATAAGCAATAAATATAAAAAAAGATTTAAAAAATTTAAATATATAAAAAATTTGCCTATCTCTTATATATTAAAGATTAATTAAACCTAAATATATCTGTAAACTTCAAACCAAACTTCAGATTTGGTTAAAATATTCATAATAGAACTTGAACCAAATATAATCTTGAAAAAAATCCAAGTTTAAGTTTGGTTTAAAATCAAACCAAACTCAAATTTAGCCAAAAGTTTGGTTTGGTTTGGCTCTATAGAAGCACTAAGATGATCTCTTTAGCTATAAAAAACTTTTTATTAGTAATTATTTGTTATTATAATTATAATGAAAATACAACTAGCTATATATATATTTTTTGAATGCCTATTTAATTGCTAAGCAATTTTCTGTATTTCTTAAATTATAACACTGGCAAATTTGCTTGTATTTTTATTAAAAATTTTAATTTTTTTAATAAAATCTTAAATATTAATTTTAGCTATATACACGGAGGACCAGGTTTATAACGACCAGACCCAACAAACAGGACAGGCTATGGTATCTTGCACAGCTATGAGAGCTGAGCATATGGCCTGCAATTCTATAGAAAGACCTCAAAATGTCTCAGTTTCTATTTCATCAAACTCTACTGAGACTCCTATCAAAAATATTTTTTCTCTAACATCTACTCAACCTATTATCACCTCTATCTTTATAAATACCTCATTACCTACAACATCACTTCCTAAAACTTTCTTTCTAGATGATTCAGACAATGATAACACATCTCCAACTACAAACACTCTTTTAGGCAAAATTAACAACCCTCCTCTCTCAA